ACCCCGTCCCCCACTCTAACTAGCTACCTCTTTGTACTTACCTCTCTTTTATATATCCCTGAGATTTGAATGAAAGCTTGCGCAAAATAAGAAATGATAATTTTATGAGTCATGTGTCACTGACAACATAAAGAGATAGATTTTGTATATAGCACTTTTTCCCCTTTCTTTCTTTCCTTTTTTTTTTTTCAGTTTAGTGGTCACACCATCTTTTGGTCAAATTATGCATACGGTCATTTATGCAGATCACATTTAAAGTTTCAGATTTGACATTAAAAATAATATGTACTTATACACAAACTTGTTGGCAGAAATAATGTGTGACTCTTAAAAATAATATGTACTTATACACAAACTTGTTGGCAGAAATAATGTGTGACTCTTTTTTTTTTATCAAATTTGACTACAAATTTGTGAATAAAAAAAAATAACATATTCACTTATAATCAACGAAATGGTAAGGCCTAATTAATCAACCTTGCAACTCTAATACTTATTAAAGATTTGTTTCCCCAGATAGTCAGACAATAACAAGATGTTTATACTAAATAAACTAACATTATATATTTTTCCCTTCTAGTAATGTTTTAAAATTCTTTCCTGTGTACAAGCCCGTAATTTCAATTCTATGGTTTCGTAATATGATTTTTGTTTTTGTATTAATCTTTTGATATCTAATAATTATATTGAATCTCGATTAATTTAAAATCGAGTCACGTCGGATCCCCTTAGAAAAAATTATCTCAGCACCTATTTTTTTATTTACAGTACTTGAATTTGAAATTTTATTTAAAAAAATTAAGTTTTTTCTATTTAAATCAACAAATTTATTGATATAGTTTCCTAATATGATATTCTGATAATTGATTTGATATCACAGGCATAATTTCTAGAAGAGATGTGATCTGTACTGTGTTTGTCAAAGTTATGATGTGTGTTTACTTGGATAAACTATAAAAATGGCCAGCAGAATTCCCACGGAGCGGTGGGTATATTATGGTTTCCATTTCCACTTTTGGGTTTTTTCTTCTTTTCAAACCAAATGAATGTGTTTTGCATTTATTTGTGTTATCAGAAGTCAAGAGGATGGCTACGTAATTCTATCATAGGGATTAAAAGTGTCCTCTTTTTTTGATGTTCGGGTTATTGACTTATTGTTTTGTTATGAAGTAAACCTGTCATACTCATACCTCGCTTCATTTCAATATTAATCACCTAATTCACAACAATGCTTTGAATATTAAAAGGGATATCACATTGCTTGGAAAACTTGTCATTGAAAAATACTGATTTTATTTAATTAAATTGATAAACATAATTAATAAATTTAAAATTTTAGTGGCCTCAATAATAATGTTGATGGTCACAACATCCACACCCTTAGTACATATCCAAGATTCCATCCACATTTTTTCTTTAAACTTTGGCTTTTAAATCTGTATGTGGGACCGTAAGCACTTCAGTTCTGGTAATATATATGTTTTCCATTCCACCCATTGCCTTTGTGCAGGAGAAACACATTCATCTCTAGAGATCGTCTTTCTGCCAAGGAGAAATCAAAAGCTAGCACTTGATGGAGTTGTCGAGTTCGAATATATCCAACACTTACTTTGTGAAGCAATGGCAGACATGGGCAGGCAGTCTCCACCGCGTTCTCTGCATGCAAGGCGGAGATGGCGACGGTAGCTATGCCAAGAACTCAGAAGCTTCGGCATCAGCCATCACCTTATGCCAACCCCTGCTCTTGAGTGCCCTTCAATCAATGAAACTCTTCTTCCTCAGCAAGGAAGATGCGGATTCTATTAGGGTAGCTGACTTGGGCTGCGCCACCGGGTACAACACCTTGGCTACCATGAACATGGTTGTCAACACCCTGACGCAACGGTACCTCAACGTTTGCGGGTTCGAGCCTGAATTCGAGGCCTTCTTTTGTGATCTTCCTTCTAATGATTTCAACTCTCTTTTCCGATCATTGGAGGCCATGTTTCCCGATGGCAAAGCAAGGCAATACTATGCTGTTGGTGTCCCTGGATCGTTCTATCATCGCCTTTTTCCTCGTCGAAAGCTTCACGTCGCAGTTACCTTAAGTGCTTTACACTGGCTCTCTAAGGTTTAAGTATCTATTCGATCCACTTCATCTTCTATTGAACTTTTGACATAATTTGTATAATATTTAATACATAATTCATCAGTCAGTACAAACTAATCACTAAACTAAATTATAAACGGTACAAAACTAATATAAAACTAGACTTATATCTATGATTTGCATATATAAAACAAGATTAGATTCTAAACCTCATCAAGTGTTCCTTGAGATATAATATTAAAATTTTGATTTCATTTGGACTAACTTATATACTCATATTATCTTCCAAGGTGGGATCGAGGTATAAAAAATTTCATTATTTTAATCAGATACCAGATGCAGTGTTGGACAAGACATCGGGGTCTTGGAACAGAGGTAGAGTGTGGATTGAAGGAGCGAAGAAGGAAGTGGTGGAAGCATACGCGAGGCAATCGGAGAAGGACTTGGAGGACTTCTTGAGACACCGGAGAGAAGAGATTGTTGTAGGAGGAATACTGTTTATATTGATGGGAGGAAGACCTGGATCCGAGCCACCGGAAAATCAATTGGATGCTGATTCAAGAGCTAAACACCCTTTCACCGTTTCCATGGATCAAGCTTGGCAAGACCTAATAAATGAGGTATAAAATTAAAACTGTTTCATTTAATGCAAAACGGCCATGGCATAACCGGCTTTGACTTCTTTTTTTTTTTTTTTTTTGTTCGTAATGAAGGGTCTGATTGACGAAGAGACAAGAGATGGGTTCAATATTCCGGCGTACATGAGGAACGTGGAGGAGGTGGAGGCGGCGGTGAAGAAATGCGGTGGGTTCGAGATAAAAAGAATAGAGTACAAGAGAATAGCGGAGCATTCGGAGGAGAAGCAGGAGGAGTGGATTAAGGATCCTGGCTCCTACGGAAGAGCCAAAGCCAACCTGGTGCGGGCCACTCTCCGACCCATTGTTGACGCTCACATTGGTCCAGACCTCTCCGAGCAGCTTTTCCAGCGGTTCCAAAACCGGGTTTCCTCAGATACGGCACTGCTTCATAAAACCTGCTTCTATGGTGTTATTATTATGTCTGCAATCCGAGTATGAGTACCCAACTCTGATCAGCTCATGATCTCTCTGGATTTCTTTCCATTTTCTCAACCTAAATGTTTGGCATTCAAATTAAAATTAGTCCATATTTGCTATTTCCATACTCAGAAAAAATTTTTAAAAAAGGGGGAAAAATCTCTTTTTACTTCAGGAAGAAAAAAAAAAAAGGAATAATAATTGCTCTATATGATTTTTTTCTTGCCAAATGAACTGTTTTTTATTCAATTTCCATTTTTAGTCGGGTACATAGTTTATTTTCCAAAGATAAGTATATATAAATTCTAACTTGTTAGCTTTTTAGGAATTTTATGTTAAAGAAAAAAGAATTAGAAATCAAGACTAATATATATATATATATATATATTATTTTGTAAAATAATGAAGATAGTATATATAGTATATTAGTAAGTAGAAATAGAGACAGATTCCAATACAAAATTAGAGATAAAATTTATTGGTATTAGGAAAGAGTTGGCCCTTGCTAACCTCCAGTATAATTAGTTAGACTGTATATGGCGGAGGCTTTGGCAAGTTCTTGACAACGCCGCACAGCTGAAAATAGTCGGAGATGTTGTACTCGTCCCTCAATGATCGCGATGGGGACAGAACACTAGCACAGAGCTGCTGTCCTAAGTAATGCCTCTCCCAATTCTCCGATCTGATGTTCCACATTCCGGCATTGTCAAATGTCAAAAGAATGGCGGACCAGGATTTTGGGAATACCTGAATGGTGTGCCTGCTCACGGCGTCGATCAGATTGTAGTTCTTCCTCTTCTTGGGTGTCCATTTTCCTGGTTCCATAGCCATCGCAAAGAATGAGTAACCGTCCGAGTGCCAGGACTGTACGATTGTCTCGTGGTTCTCGAAGATGATCTCAATAAATTTACGGAAAGTCATGTTCAAGACAATGGGTTTGACGGTGACGTCTGTGACCTTTGCTTGGGGTTCATCTCCGATAACATCGTACTTGAAAAGCCTGTCGGTGGAGTTGTAGTACTCGGCGAGTTTGAATGGGGTGTCCAAGTCCACGTGGGAGACACCGTTGATGGCGTAGCGGAGCTTCTCGTTGACTTTAGCCGCACGCTGGTTGGCGAGCTTGATGGTGCGGGTGATGTTAATTGCGCCGTAGTGGTATGATCCCTGTGGGTTAGGCCTGGCAGCGCTTACTGTGAGGTTCCAACGGATGGTGCGATGCTGATTGAGGGACCAAGCTCAACCAACCGGGCAGGAGGAAGAACCGGGGAGGCGGTACCCTTGCCGTTGGTATAGCGGATGACTCCGGTAGCGGTAATTTCGATCCTTCTTCAAAAACCTGGTGGAGACCACCATGTAGTAATCCTTCGGTTCTTGGTTGGACGTCACGAGAACAGCATAGCACTGTAGTCCAACATGAACGTCAAGGGACTCATACGTGTTCTGCACAGTATGGGACCCTTCCATTTCGACAAGCATCATGGTGTGGCCCTGGATCCTAAAATTGAGGGATGTCTTGCGTCCAGAGTTACAAATCCTGTACTTGTAAGTCTTTCCAGGCTCCATTGTGAAGAGGGCCTCATCTTTTACATCACCCCTGGCAACTTTACAATTGATAAGGATGCCATTGGGCCTGCCAATGGCGCGGCCACTTTCCAAGATCTTCTTCAATGTATTGTGACTTTTTGTGTACCAATCGCCAATGAGGACTGTGTAGTCATCAGCAGGGTCAGCATAAGGGACAGGAATGATCAAACGACTGTTCACCCTGAGGCCACCAAAATCGCCAGCTGCCTTGTGCATTGAGGTGGTGGGGTAATAGATGTAGCTACCAATCTGATCCTTGACCTGGAAGTGATATAGTGTAGTTAGTTCTAGGGGCAATTGGTTGGGCAGTTAGTTCCAAGGGTTCCATCTTGCTAAGAGTTCTTCCTGTGCTGAATACCACTCCTGTCAAAATCCCAGAAAACATACACCAAATTCACTAATCAACAATATAGATACAAATCAAAGCAATGCAAAACCTTATTATAATAAGAACCAAATAAGAACTTAATCGAGTTAATAACCAAAATCTTGATTTTGATTGAAAACTATATAATTAATTGAGTATGAATACATTAATGAAATTGTATACAATGTCAAAAGGAAAGGCTCATCAAGATTATTGAAGACATTGATGACGATGTT